TCCGGCCCTGGGTGTGTGGCGGAGCGTCAGGTTCTGGGGCAGCGCATTAATTGTTGTTTTCTGTTGGGAATCGCTTATTGCTTCTTAACCCGCGTCATCGATGCTGTGTTCTGTGTTGGTGGCGTTGTGCTGCGAGCCTGGTCAGCCGGGCACGCGGGGTCCGTCAGCAGTGCAGCAGTTCCCGACTGCTTATGGCACCTCTCTTTTTTTCTCTTTTTTTTTCCTTTGGACTTGGGGAGGTAAGAGGATACAAATCTTTGTAGAAAGGTTCTTTCTTGGAGTCTATATTAAACCTGTATGGAATGGTAAGAACGTAATTACTTTAATCACTTGGGGTTTCTTTACTGTTGGCTCTTTGTACGTCGAATGCTTAGGGCTCCCAAAACAGCCCTTCAGCTGGGCCCTTCCCTGGAAGCAGTGAGTGTAACACAGATGTGCATTGCAGAATCCCAATTAATGAAACGAGGCCAAGCAAGGGCATGTTGGGCTGGAAGGCACAGGGCTGGTTTTGCAAGAGCAAGTGATCACATGGATTTGTGTGTTGGGACCACTTTATGGTAACTAAAAAGCAGGTACCCAGTGCTGTACAGGTTACGGGAAGAGATGAACTTGGGAAATGTTTCCCAGGAGTTAAAATGTAACATGTTTGAGAGACAGAAAAGAGTAAAAAGGTGGTGAGAGATAAATGTGTATTTAATGATTAACAGCAGAACAGTCATGTGTTCACTAGGAATGTCTCAAAATGACTGTCAAGAAGTCAGTGTACTTTCTTCTGGGCACTGTCAGCAATTATCAGCTGAGGTTGTTGTACTTAAGTCCAGGCAGTTGTAATGGGTTAAGTATCAGATTTTTGTTGAACTTGAGTGGGTGTATTTCCATACTCTATTTATGAACATGGAGCAGTAGCTTTAGATTTAAATAAAATTTCTGGTGTTAATACTCCCTTTATAAAATCTGTCATGTGTGTCAGAAAGTGACACTGTCACTGTAGTGATAAGAAAAATAACCCAACAAGATTTCTTTTTGATTTAAGCTGCAAAAGGTTCAGGAACTAAATCAGAACTGGGTTTGGAAACAAACTAGGTTTGAATTATTTCAATTTCAGTGGTCCTAGGTAAAGTAAGATTCTTTCATAAGGAAAGAAATGTGGAAAAGTGTCTTTCCAGGGGAATCTGCATCCAACAATGCTCTTCTTTTTATTTCATTGTTATGGCAAAGAGGAACAAACTTTGGGTTTTATTAACAAACTATCCAGACATATATCCTCACCAGAACTTCTTCTCATTGCTCATGCAAAAGATTAAACACTTCAAAGAAGATTAAATACTAAAGGCATCCTAATGTTGTCATGCTGGGAACATATTTTCCAAGCGTGTTTCATACAGGTGACATTAGCTTATAGTTTGTATTCCCTCTCTGCCTTTCTCAGCTTGAATTATTGTTCACCTCCTGTGTTTCCAGCAGACGTTTTTGTATGTTTTAACTTACGGTGGAAACTCTCCAGGTCAGTCTTGAAGTGCTTCTCTTGTGATTTTAGGGTTGGGTCAGTGTACTTTGGCAAATGCAGCCACTTTGATTTGCAGAGTTCTGAAACGTGATCCTTTACAGTAGCTGCTCAGCTCACATTTTCCTAGTGTGCAGTTGCTCCCACTGGATTCACAGATTTAATTTTTAAAGCTAAAGTAAAATTTCTCTCTTACTGCCAGTTAGTGAGATCTATAGACAGTCCTTAATACACAGTACATAGACCTTCCCTGTTCATCTGCTGCCACTCTTGGTTCTTGGGTGTAGTCGATGTCAGGTATTTTCAGAGCAACCTGCTGGGATATCATAGGGATCGTGATTAAAAGGAAATAAACAGCTATTAAGTAAGAAAGATATTGTTTTCCTCAGAATATCTAGAGAGCAAATCAGTTAAAAAGCTGATTTTCATCTCCTTTCACTTGTTTTTGCTACTCACCATGCCTCTAGGGTTGATTTGGACACCTGATCTAAAGGACAAGAGTTTAACAAACCTCAACTGGCATCTCTAAAAAATTCTAAAAATTCTATTTACTTGGCCATAAAGGTCATGTTATACCCCAGTGTACTCACAGTCTTCCTTCTGAACTTTGAATCAAAATGCAAATGGGGTTGGTTTGGCTTGTTGTGTTAGTTGTTGGGGTTTTGAAGTATGTGGTTTGCTTCTGATTTGTTGGTTTGGGATTTTGGGTTTTTTCCCTAAAGAGTTTTGTCTCAGAATTTAAGTAGTTCAAGTAACATGTCAACAATTTTGAGCTCATTCTACACTCAGAACAAGTGGAATTTGTAGTTGAACTTTAGGATTCACAGAGCATGGTCACAAGGGACACAATATATGATTATCAAATGTAAGTTTAGCCATTGGATGCTGTTCCATGTTTGCTTATTTGTACATGTGCAGTGTGACTTGCAGATGAACAGACCCAGCAGCACTTGTTACAGACCTAATTATGCTAAACAGTGTTCCAGGGACAAGAGCAAATGTTTAAGAAGGCTTTTCAGAATAAGATTTATTATTTTTACTGTTGTGTTTTGATATTTTAAATTAGTTATATCCTAATAGGTCATTGGGCCAAATCAGCTTATGGACAAATAATTAGGAGAGGATCTCTAGTACAGACTAAGGAATTACTCTTATAGGACAGGAGATTCAGTGCTGGTTGTATGATACCATTTTGATCTTTCTTCTGTCTCACCCATCTTTATTTCTATGGATTTCTCTTATCATCCTTCTTCATAACTGAATGATTTATTTATCTTTTGTAGTAAAAGCTAAGGTTTTTCAGTAGGTGTTTGTGAAGATACAGATTTTATCATTTTGACAAGATTTGTTGTGTTAGATATATAGAAGCTAATTTGGGAAAAGGAACCTTTATTCCACATTGGTATCAGGGACACAGAAACTTATTTGTTTGCCTCATTTCCTTGTGTTGTGTCTCAGGATATAGGAGCCAGACACTTCTTGTGCCTGTTCCATAAAGTGATGCCGTGTTTTTTACAGTGTGTTGAATTCCTTGGTTTTAAGGTCGTCTTGATTTTTATATTAATTCCTAGCAAATATATATAGGTCCAAGTTGGTAAGTTTTGAAGCATTAAACTGTTGAGCAAGATAAGCTGAAGATCTGGGAGTAAGGATGTGTGAAAAATCCAAGTGTCTTAAGCTTGTAGTTTGTGGGCTGACAGCATTGCCATCTGCCTTGAACTAACTTGAATTTTAATTTTGTCTCATGAACTGGGTGTAAATGAAGTCATGGTGTGAAATGCTAGGAGTCAGCACTGCTCAAAGCAGTCTATGTTGAAGTGCAGCAGCTGTGAATACAAAGCTGCCCTTCTGGGACACTGTGTGAAATGATGTAACCCAGTGAAAAAGCTCTGCAGAAATATATTTCACCTGCTGTAACTGTGTCTTTGCTGCAATACTTCACAAGGCTTGAGTGTGGTGCTTTCTTGACTGTGCAGTGGGATTGTATTGAATGAAAAAAGCTGCTGGCAGTAACAGCTAGAGATACTGAGGTTTTGTTTTGCTGCCCTGTACCTGTGCTGCAGCTCTGCTACAAAGAGGTGACACTAAGGAAAAGCTTTAATGCTTGTGGGGTAAGTTTGCAAGGAAATTACCTTCTGAAAAAATCAGGTTTCCCTTTGAAAAAGCTTCAGTGTTTGTGCACTTGCAAAAAGTTCAGATAATCACCTGTGTCTTTCTCACATCCTTATCTAAGTGTTCCTGCAGCAGCAACGTGGTGTCAGAGTTTCGGGAAAAGCACAGTGGAATATTTGAAACATTTTTGTTGTAGTGAATTAATTTCTGTAACTCTCTAGGTTCTTGGGTTAAAAATCTTGTACTGATAAATGCCTTGTGCTGAGTCTCACAGATTCAGGTCCTGTGGAATCTACGTACGAGGGAATTAGACTGTAGAAGTTGTTGCTACTGAAATAAAATTTCTTTGATAAATGTGATTATGTTAATGAGAGGTGAAAGCATGTAAGGCAAATTACAGCACATTAAGGTAAAATTTTCAGCACTTCTGCATTACTACTAGATTAGAAATGTTTGATACTTTGAAAATACTAGAAATGTTTGATAGTCATATCACCACACTGCTGTGACAGCAGCAATATACTGCTGAGAAGACAAATTGAGCTCTAAGCCACCTTTGCTTGCCACTATTGTCATTAATATTCCAAAGTAATAAACATTGAACTTAAAACTATGCATTGTCAGTCTGTGCAGGCTGAGAATTGCTCCATGATTAAATCCTGTTTCAGACTGCACTCACAGTTCTAAACTTGTGCTGAATTTTGGAAGAGCTCTGTATGCCTAGGTGAGCTCATTCTTCTTACAGCAAGTGGCATTTGTGAGAAAATGCAGGGATTTGTTTTGGCTGTGAAACTTGGTTGCTTATCAGTAATGGTAAAATACAGGTCACACATCAGCCAGGTCATACTACAGGACTGTAAAGTAGCTTAGTTTCTAAAAAAAGATTCCTCTTGGCTGTGTTAAACTAAAACCATCAACAACAGGATTCAAGAGCTTCTTAGATAAATCACCAGCAGTTTGGAACAGGACCAGAATGCAATGTTACAATGCCAATAAGTTATTTGGGTTTGTTTGTTTTTTTCCCTTTCTCACTGCTAGGATTCCAACAGGAAAATTTGTGTCTGGGCAGTTCTTGAGGATGGCAAGCAAAGGCCCCACAACTTCTGCATCAACAAAGAGCTCCAGTACTGGAGGGACCAGTGGCAGCAGTAGCAGTAATGGTGCCGGGGACAACACTAATCAGGACAACACTTTTGAATGTAACATCTGTTTAGACACTGCCAAGGATGCAGTTATCAGCCTCTGTGGGCATCTCTTCTGGTAAGTAGTACAGCCCCCATGGATAAACCAGAACACCATCTATCTGATCCCTTAAAAACCTGTGACTTTATAATTCTAGATGTCAAATAAAAGGACCTATGTAAAATGAGGAGGGACCATGGCTTGCATTCAGGAGGAGCTTGAGTTTGCTCATCAGCTGTATTTCTTTGCTCATGTTTCATGGAGTGGGTTTCCTGCATCTTAGACTTCCTATACTTATGGATTATTGTGTAAAAGAAAACAAACAAGCAGCCCCACACAGACAGTTCATTGTTCATTGATACTGTTCAGTTAGGTATGTTATTTGTGCCTAGCGTAGATACCTTGTTCAGATCTAAAGTCCTTTCTAACCTGTGCATACCTAAACTGAATCTAGGTTCTGGAGGCCAAACTGCAGTT